CATATAGGTGCTGTCTGTGCAGTCATACAGATATATGAGTAGATATATGTTGCACTTTTTTCCTCTAGAAAAAAATTCTAACGATGAATACACATTTGGAGATATTTAGCAGTAAACCAGGACAGAGCATGCCCATTTAGTAGTAATCCATGACTCCTGGGCTGGAAAATCTGCATAAGTTTAGTCTCATCAGTCACTGGCTGTGTGGTTTCTGAGCAGCATGTTAACCTCTCTGAGACACATTCTTTTCCTATGTTAACTGGCAATAAGAATAATACATAGTTCCTGAGTACAGAGGATATAATGAAGTGAAGTATATTAAAAATGTTTTGTAAAGTCTTAGAAAGGACAAAATACTGAAAAGACAGAATTATTTTGTACTGTATAGCTTCTAGAAGTCAGTTCCACACGGGCTCCTATTTCATTGTATCAGCTTAAACAAACAGCATCTGTGTGATAAAATGATGGTGAATATTAAATGAGATATTTTATATAAAATAAACAGCAGGAGGCCTGACATATTACAGGTACTGTTTATATAAATGATCATTATTTTTGTTAGAAATCAGCCCTTTTTTGATTTACTTAATTTCTATCAATACAGTTGACATTCTTCAGAGTTTCTAGGACAAAACTTTGGAGTGACTTTTATTCTCTTCTAGTCTTTGTCTCTTATAACCAACCAATAATTAAATCTTTGTGATTCTTTGTGATTCTTCTAAAATCTGGTCCTTCCTGATGTTTTCCCCACACTTCATTATTACAGTTTCCATCTATTGTAATCATTCTCCTTTTCTGAATCATCCTATATACCAATTCTTCATCGGTAAAGAGGACTTTCAGTGTGTTTCTATCTGGAGCAGAAACCTTCAGTAGCTGATAGTGGACTATAGAAAAAAGCCCAGACTCTTGAATAATCCTCAAAGATCCTCCACAAGCTAACTTGAGAGCATCTGTGTCCTCTCATCTCCCATTGCTCACATCCTGGACCTTCTGGTTCCATCTCCACACCGTAATGAATGCTGGTCTTCTGCTGAATGTGAAGTCTTAGTGTTAGCCTACTTTTCAGGCCAAATCCAAGTCCCACTCTGCATGCTATGCTGCTTTTCAGATTATTTTCTAGAAACATAAGGTTGGCAACTCATCTACTGAACTATTACAGTCACAGTGGCATCATCCTCATTTGAATTTTTATAGTTGTAATAAATTGGCTATGGTCTCGGCATTTACTTTTTATCCAACTCTTATTGTAGAGCTTGTCTTTCCAAGTTTATCACTAGTTGAAGACAGGAACCATGTTTTGTACATATTTCTGATGCTTTTTAGAAATCTTAGTAGAACTTAACTCTTTAGCAACTACTCAGTGACTCTCTGGGCTAGTCTCCAGTGGAAAAAGACTTTGCTTTCTTTGTCCGAGACCACGACCCTTTTTGTACCACTTCCCTCTCTTTTCCCCAACCGGTGTGGCCCTTGATTCTTTGCTCAATCACTTCCTGGTGGCCTCCATTTAGCCTTCACTTGGCATTGGTCTTTTGGCTTTCTTCCTCAACTCTGACTTACTTTTGTCCATTTGACTGTTCTGAGTGAGCAATCCACAACACCAACTTCATTCTGTGACTCAAATCTTCTGGAAACACTAGCCCTTCTCCCATCCTATCCTCTATACTACAAAAGAGAGAACGAGAAACACCATTACCCAGATATGGCAAGCATGTCATTTCTACATTGCTTTTAGGTTCCCTTCCATAAAATAGCTTTGGAAGTAAAATGGGAAAGATTACAAAAGGCCAACAAGGTAGGTGGCTGGATGGAAGGACAGAGCAGTCATTCACCTGCCCAGGCTCTGAGACAAGAGTGCCAACAAAAAAAACCCAAAAGTGGGCCCTCCCTGGTGGCGCAGCGGGTTAAAGCACTGCACTGAGAATCTAAAGCTGCTTCCGCATGAGTTCGATTCCCGCCTGCCCCGGAGGTGACCACATGGCGTGGCAGACCTCTCCTGGCCCGCCCGCTGCTCCCCTCAGCAGTGTGCTTCGTCGCTCTGCCTGTTCTGCTCCCCACTCTGTCTCTGGTGAATCCTCTCACCCTCCGCATCTCTGGCCTGTACCCCAGTTCTGTATGAATAAATAAATAAATCTTTAAAAAAAAAAAAAACCCAAAAGCTCAAATGCCAAAACCCATAACCAAAGGACAGTAACTAATGGAGGACAGGCCACTGTCTGTGGGTTCTCACATGCATGCACAATTGCAAGACTCCCTAGGCTCCAGAGCAAACCCTAACACCCAGGGGGTTTATTTTGGGTGACAAAGAGCTTACTGTATCCACAAGTAGTGGCTTTCTACCCAGGTAGCATAAGTGGTGGTCACGGGGGGGTCACCAGGAGTGTTGACAGCACTGGCCATAGTGATGGTCACTACTGGTTTCCCAGAGGCAGAGTGTCAGAGACACCTAGTGTTAACAGCTCTCTGGTGAATTGTTGGGTTACATCAACAACAGACAGCTCTTTGAGACACCAGGCCCAGGGCTTGTGGTGCTCCTTTCAGGCAACATCAGCGGAAGGATGGAGACCCAGTCTCTTTAGTGTCCTTCGGCTTCTCTTCCCTACATGGAGGTTGGCTGCTGGATGCTTCTTTTCTTCTTTCTTCTTCAGAGGGTAGGAGCAGAGTCTTTCCCTTCTTTCTTCTTTTGGAGCTTGTGTTGTCTCTTCTTAGGGGCCCTCTTCTCATTCCTTGGTCTTTCTTTGGGGGCTCCTCCTCTCTTTTTCTTTGGGTCTCCCTTCTTCTTCTCTTTATCCCCCTATTTCTCTTGAAGAGCTCTTCCAGCTCCCTCCAACCCTGACTTATATCTTCTATCACCCACAAATCTGATTGGACCAATTAGCTCCAATCAGCTCAAAGCTCACACCTAATTGAGCTTTTTTTACAAAAAGCTGGTAATTGCGCTCAGGAGCAACTGCCACAACTGACAAAAAGGACAGTTACTGGACTCTGTCTGAGGAGCAACTGCCACAACTGACTTGTGGTGGTGCATCAGGGTAAAAGAACAACACTGCTTCTGCTGTCTCCCATTGCTGAGGCAGCTGGGACCCAGTAACGGATGCTTACTTAGACCCATGTTCATCTTTGACTTAGCCACTGCCATAAGCTAGTAATTGACACAAGTACCAAAAGGAGGCAGAGAAATTCAGTTTATCACTGCCAGTCAATCCTGTCTCATTCTTGACCTTAAATCTTGGGCTCTTTCTCTTGACCCTAATACAGTCAGTCTTGATGTCTATATGTCTACCTATTTGCCTAGTTGGTAATTTTTGTAAGACTCCGGTTATCCTCGGCCAGGCAGTATCAATAAAGATAAAACTAGTTTGGATAAGGAAAGAGCCTAGTCCCTTCTGCTACTGATACCACTTATGGCCTAAGAAAGACTGAGAACCAAGATGGCCCCAGTAGCATTTGATCACACTTGGATCAGACAATGTAGTCATTTTCTGGCCTGGAGCTTGTCCATACTCAGAAATATTCCAAGGACTGTGACAGTTCATAACACTTCCCTGCCCCTATGCACAGACAAAGGATATCAGTGCTGTGACAACAGCATACAAAGACCCCATTGCGAATGAGCCTGCGAAGATCCCCAGGAAGTTTCCCGCAGACTGGAAAAATGCTGCTGCATCAAATGCATTTGGATTCTCCTTGGGACTGTAAATGGAGATAGAGCTGAAAAGAGAAGAGGTGAGGGTTAGTTGATTATTTCCATTTTATAATCCAAATGTCAGCAGTCAGAGCTAGCACCCCCTTTTGGCATGGGTGCCTTCTCCCATAAAATTAGATGTTGATTGAAAGGAACAGATGAGACAGGGAGAGGCAGAGAGAGCAGAAAGCTTTCCCTTTTCCCACAGCTCAATCCCATGGCATCCATATATTGTTGCCAGTCAGTAAACATTTTTATATCGGAAGGGCTGTAAAGAATTTTGTTTTTGAGCAAACTAGGCATTAAAACATGGTAGGTGTATAAGGAATCTGCTGAGAAGATAGATAACTGTGAATTATTTAGTGGTCGTATGTCTTCAGTGCTGTTATATATTCACAAATGTTCCTGATAAAAAGTGCACTTTTATGGCCTGTGCACAAATGGGCGATACAAATCACAGCCTGCACAAAATATTCTGCTGTGATCTTGTCATAAACCACAAAACACTGCTCGTCTCCAGTGTAACCCTTCAGAAACAGAGCCAGACCATGCTCAGAGCATCCTGGTAACAATCCCCAGGGAGAGACAAAAACCCTCATTTTCCCACTGAAACAAATGGCAGCAGCTGCCCGAGGTCATCTTTTATACCCCAATTCTGATGACTGTCAACATGTTTATTTCCATAGAAAAAAATCAATCTTCCAATAGGCAGTCTGTTCACTTAAATATTTTTGAGGACATCATCTTTACTTGTTTTTGTAAATCAGGGCCTGAAATCCGCGAGTGGAAATATGAAGTATGAGGTATTAAAATGAACAGATGCATGAGAAATGGTAACTTTGAGGCGACTAATGAGGACACATTTCAGCTTCTGCTTGTTGCTGTTTTTATTTTAATATGAGATCTTTAAACTAATCAGGGAAAGTCAAGAGTTTTGCAATAGGTTCTGTAAAAGACTTTATAGCAGCGCAGAGAGTATCAAGTACACTAAACACAATGACTGGAGATTAGCTTGGGTTTTACAGAGATGTAACTGCATCTTTTATGGTTTGGATGATTAGAGCATGTTAACCCTCTGACCTGACTTCTGTACCCAGATAGACGAGTAGGGGGTGTAATACCAATTCTCCTACAGGAAGAGGTGTGGCTTAAAAAAAGGTTAGTTTTAGGCTCTCTCTGGTGGCGCTGCGGGTTAAAGCACTGCACTGAGAAGCTAAAGCCACTTCCACATGAGTTCGATTCCCGCCTGCCTGGAGGTGACCACATGGCGTGGCAGACCTCTCCTGACCTGTCCGCTGCTCCCCTCAGCAGTGTACTTCGTCGATCTGCCTGTTCTGCTCCCCACTCTGTCTCTGGTGAAGCCTCTCACCGCCCCTGAGCCTCTGGCCTGTACCCCAGTTCTGTATGTACAAATAAATCTTAAAAAAAAAAAGGTTAGTTTTAAATGTTCCCAGTTTTTCCCTAGATGCCCTGAAACCCCAAAGTAGGTCAACTGCTTCTGCTTTGATCATGTAAATGGATAAGAAGATGAATGTGGATCTTGAATGGAACCCTGAAATGCATGCAAGAAAAGATTGGTTTTGAAGTGTTTTACTTTTTGTAAAGTGTTGTGCTTTGCAGAAAAAAAAAAAAAAAGGAAATGTAAACCCATATTTGTTCCTTTGTGCATGAAATTTCTGGAAAAGGGGACAAACCCTATGGCTGTTATGAAACTTGGTGCCTTAGGCTGCAAAGATAGAGGGGTGTGTGAATAGACATCCATGAGGACGTCTGTTCTCAATACTGAGAAAGCTTCCCATTGCTTTTCAAACAATTTTTTTTCATAGCTTTGTAAATAATTCAGTTAATTCTTGAGCCACCACCTGTCTGTCTAACTGGGTACTCTTCACTCCCCACTTCTACCTCCATACTCCCCGAAAGTGCTTTTTCTATCCTGATGTTTCCTTAAAGCATTATCATCACATCATTTGGCCATAGCCTGTACCACTTAATAGGTAGTGTATTTCCTTAAACCAACTCATTTTTATCCAAATGCAAGAGCTTTTATTAAAGAACTTTTATGAATTCGCAATTTTGATGTCTAATTATATTTCTTCTTTTAATACTTACAAGATGGTACAATTATTCAATTTGAAAAAAAAAAAAAAGAAAATGTAACTGCATCACCTAAAATCATCTGAGTTATTCACTGGTTTGCAGTCTATCTTAGGGAGCAGGCCTTTTCTAGGGCATTGATCCCAACCCAACAGACTGAAGTCAAACTCCCTGTGATACTTGACTTCACCGAAAGGGATGCTTAATCCCTTCAGACCTGTGGAGGTTCATCCATTGAATTTGCTGGCCCTGGAATTCACCAGAATTCATGTGCTGCATCCCCACTATGTGCTAGTGATGCATTAAGTGTAGATATTGGAGGCCAGCAGGGAAGGAAATAGAGAAGAGAAGCAGAATTTGATTCAACATTTGATTCAAATTTTGCAAGGCATATCTACGCAAAGAAGCCCAAGTGTAAATGACAGTTAGTTCTAATTACAGGTGCTGAGTGTGTTTTTGCGAGAGATGGACATTTCATTGAGCAAATGGGGAAAGGACACTATTTAGAAGAGAGTAGATGGCTGTAAACAAGGTCGCCAGTGAGGAGGGAGGGGTTTGGGGAGGATTTCCCTGCACTGGAAGAACATAAGCAAAGACAGAGAGCAGGTAAGTTGAGAGCACAACACAGAGAAAACATGTGTGGGCATGTGTGCTGGGGTCGAGGTGGGTAGGCAGTAATACCTGGAGTTTAAATTCCATGTTAGACCTCTACAGAAGTCCTTCTGTTTCCAAAATATGGTCCTCTTTGCCTTCACTATAACTTAATTGATTTTGTAATATCTCTGCAAAAGCAATCATTATTATTCCTCCTTTTCTTTTTTAAAATATGAAATAAACTGGTGAATAGAGAAATGAAGGTCATACACCAATGTTGAAAGTGTAGGGTTTCTTTTTTCTCTCTTAAAAAGGGGTTGTCTTAAGGGAAAGAACCATGAACCCACATCAGGAGGGCAGAGTGAATGTTGCGCTGACTGTAAGGGCAAGAGGAGTTCAGGTAACAGAAGTTTAATTTCATGCCTGAAAGGAACTCGGACAAGACTTTCCTGTACCCATGATGACAGCCACATGTGTCTCCCAGGCCACAGCGACCCCTCTCTCATCCACCAGCAGGTGAGGCTCAGGGCTCCTGGTGCGAATCTTTCATCCTTGGCTCCTGGACCTCAAGTTTGCTGGGTCTGGCCCTATTCTTGTCACTCTTTTCATGCACAGAAAACAGCTTGATGCAGGAAGTTATAGAAAGGTAGATGGAATGGAAGGTTGGCTGATTAGAAAGTAAAAAGGAAAATAGGAGGGGCCCTCCCTGGTGGCATAACAGGTTAAAGCACAGCACTAGGAAGCTAGCCTCTGCCCCTTCAGTGGGGATTAGATCCCCAGCCAAGGAGGTGACCACATGGCACAGCAGACCTCTCCTTTCTTGCCTGCTGCTCCCCTCAGCAATGTAATTTGTCAATCTGCCTGTTCTGCTCCCCCTATGTCTCTGATGAATCCTCTGATCATCCCTGGAACTCTGGCCTGTGCCCCAGTTCTGGATGCATAAATAAAATCTTTATATAAAAAAAAAAACAAGGTAAACAGAGAGGATGGCAGGAAAGAAATCTAGCAAAAGCTGGTCATCTCTTGAAATGAACCATCACCTACAAAATAAATTATTAGACGTTGATCTATGTAGTCATATGATATGCAGTTCATTGTCATCAGTGCAAGTCTGAAGGTGACACTGAGCCTATTAATCTCAACCTCAAAGATCTGACTTTCAAGAGTTCTAGGGCCTTAGACAAGTTACTTTATCAAGTTCAGCTCAGTTCATCATCTATAAAATAGAGATGATAACAGTAATCGTCCCTCAGAAACGTGAGAGGATATAAGTAAGGTACACTGACAACCCATATGTGTATTTGTGGATTATGAGGCCATCCATTGAGTATTTGTTATGTATTTCAACTCAGTGAATGTCATTAACCACATTCCACATTCTGCTGGCACCTTCCAGAAGCCTGAGAGACGGGCTCAGTGGAGTGGCTGACCCAGTCTCAGTTCTGGCTATAAGTAGAGGGGATGTGGCTCCCCTCCCAGCACCTCATGCTTTGAGATTGCTGCAGAGGAGCCAGTAATCCCCACAGGGGATCCGGAGGGTCCCTCACAAGCAAGTGCAGGGCACAGGTGCCCCAGAGCAGTGGCCATAGGAATGATACTGACCAGTTGTCCTATTTTATGTCAGCTCTTAGCTTGTGGTTCAAGGAATCAGGGAGCATCATCAACACCCTGAGAAGGGGTCTGCCCAGGGAGAAGGACAGACCCAGAGTCTCAGCCTGAGATGAATTCCTCAGGTGCAGTGGGGACTGGACGGCAAGGTGAGCTCTTGACTTCTGCAGAAATTGCCAAGAAAGTGCAGGCCTGTAACTGAAGTAGGAGGCATCTGTTCCCACTGCCAAGATTCCAAGAAACTGTTCCTTCAGGATCTACCTGGTGAGAGAGCACCATTTCAGGTGCGATACTAAGTCTCTGGAGGACAGAGCAGCTGCGGCAAGGGTGCTTCTCTGAAACTATCTTTATTATTTTTTTAAACCTGTGTGGGGTTTTACAGCTTTAACCAATGGAAGAAGAGGTATCAAATTGCTAAATTTAATTTTTAATTTTTGCTCAGAAGAACTGGGGTACAGGCCAGAGGGGTAGGGGTAAGGGGGTAAGAGGATTCACCAGAGACAGACTGAGGAACAGAACAGGCAGATCTACCGAAATACACTGCTGAGGGGAGCAGCGGGCAAGACAGCAGAGATCTGCTGTGCCATGTGGGTCTGCTCCCTGGCCAGGGGTCAACTTCAGTTTACAGAGGTGATAGCACTGAGACTGAACTCCTAGGCCTCCTCCTGCAATTTCAATCTCTTGGACTTAAAAGGAATTTTATTTTTCCTGTAACGAGGGAGATGCTTGA